CCTTGTCCGAGGGCTGGTTCGTGGCACGGGCCGCCACAATCACCTGGTGGTCGCTGTCCACCACCGCCTGGCAGTTGTAGGACTGCTGGAAGTCCCGCCCTCCCGGGCCAGGCATGATGCGGGAGTCGGGATCGGTGAAGTTCCGCTGCGCCTTGTCATCAGGCACCCGTGTGTGATTGCGGCCTCGACTCAGCTGCTTCCGCTCTGCCCGTGCCTCGGCCTCCAGTGCCGCCTTGGCCTCCCTTATCCTCCGCAACCGTCTCTCCCGGAAGGCCAGTTCCTCCGGCAACTCGTCCCCACGCTGTCCCTCCCGTAGCGGCGGTCCTCTCCTCGTACACCTTCCTGCCTACGGAGCAACTCGTCCACCTCGGCCTGCACCGCTCTCCTTCCTTCATCCGCCCGTAGCTCATCGCTTGTGCTTTGAGGCATTTGCCCTCACCTTGGTGCCGTCCAGCGCCACGTGCCACAGCTCACCAGTCCTGCATGCTGGCACAGCTCCAGCACCTGTAGGAACAGGTCCCCAACGCCTCCAGATGTCCTTTCGGAAGTCGGAGACGGTGCGGAGTCCGGCGTGTTGTTCGCCGCCAGCACCGAGAAGGCGATTGTCCTCGTGGAGACGCCGGGCGATGCGCCTGGACGAGCCACCTGTGCAGTAGCCTGTAGAGCAGCACCTTCACCATCATCCTGGGATGTAGGGAGGGGCGCCTTCCTCCCTCGTAGCGGGCGGTGATGGCCGAGAGGTCCAACTGGTCCACACCAGTCAGAGATGAAGTAGGCCAGGTGTCACGCGGCAGCATTCCTAGGAGCGCCGCAGCAACAGCAACTGCTGGTCAGGATCGTAGGGAAGGTAGGTCTTGCTCATTGACCGCTCCGCTCGTCTGATGCTCCACCCATCATACCCTCAACGGCTCACCAACCCTGTTTCTCAGACGGGCTGCTAGTATTACAACGACGCTTAGCAAAAAAGGGACCCTGAACGCCCCTTCTTGGCGACCTGTCTATGCGCTTGACAGCTTTGTGGCCTTGCCTCCCGCGAGATCATTTCCGTGCAAAATCGAGCGAATTGAGGAAGCGTCGTTGTAATACTAGGGGTCATCGCCGCAGCCTCCCGCATGGCTGACAGCATCTCGCCCTGGGCAGCAACTCGTAACGGCAGAGAGTGTTCATGTCTTTCATTCCGGCTAAATGGAACGGGAATTCAAACTAGGTAACGCTGATAGTGATTCCGATGAGTTCGGCCGCAGTAACGATGCTGTCGGTCTGGACCTCTAGCGACTCGATGGTGCGCAGCACGGAAGACCGGCCGGGGTCGCTGTTGGGAATTGTTTCACGGAGGTGCAGGTCGAAGGGACTGGGGATTTCGTCCGCCAACGCAACGCTGCGTGCGATTTCACCATTCAGTTTCGTGGCCAGGTCTTTGTCGACCCTTGCGACCAGGTCCATGATTCCGGGTCCCACGGCCAATCCGAAGTCGCCAGTGTAGACCATCTGGATGCCGCGAGCGTTACCGATGATGTCGGCGACCGTGTTATCGGAGAAGCAGGAGTGTTCGTCCTCCTGGGACCGCTCTTCATAAGCGACGGTCATGCGCTCGCCAGCCAGCTCGCCCCGGGAAAGCTCACCAATGCCGGTAATGATGTTGTTGAGGGCGTCGTCCACGTCCAGTGCCAAGAAGTCGGCCCGGTAGTTGCCGGAGATTTCCGGGGCCCAGGCGTCGACCAAGCCTTCAAGGTGAACCAGGAGCAGGTCGGAAGTCGTAGCCAGATAGACACCTCGGCGGTCAGCGTTCTCTGCAGTGGTGTAGTCCGAGACCGGGCGGCTGCCAGGGGCCACGTCGTTCAAGTCTTGTCCCCAGCGAAGGAACTCGATGGCGTGCCACGCAGTGGAGATGTTCACTTCGGCTCCCACTTCGTTTAGCGACTCGATCAACTCAGCCGTGATTTCGAAATATTCGTCAGGATTGTTGATAGTGCCAGCCCCGGGGTCGCCTTCGACGTAATCGATGTAGGCCTCGTCCAAAGGCCAAGCGTTAATCAGACCTTCGGGGCCATCCTCTTCGTTGTCGATGGGGCCACCGTAAAAACGGAAGGCACTCTCTGTGGGACCATAGTCGTCGCGCGCGGTTAGCCAGGCTCTCTTGGCGGCTTCGAGGGTTGCTGGCGTAGGGTCGTCCAGGAAAATGTTTATCGCGGTATCCATTGCCGTGGCCGATGCCAGGCTCTTCGAATAGAGGGCGTGGACTCCATCTGCATAGTGGGTCACCACATCGGTCTTCAATTCCGCGAAGCTGGATCCTTCTGGATTTGGGGCGGTCGTCGGCTCCAGCGTTGAAGTAGGTTCTGAAGAACAAGCCAGTGACAGCACTACGCTGAGACCAACGATCAAAGTCGCACAGAGGGTCCCTAACCTGCTAACCATAGCTACTCCTTGTCATCCTGCGTCTACATACTGTGGGCACACTGCCAATGCCGATTCTTATGACAGCATATACACGTAAATAAATATTGTGTCAACTGTTAATTATAATATATATATCAGAGTACTCAATGGTCGATCATATAAATTCATACTAGTTGGTAACACATATATCCACTCACAAAGTGGGCGAAACACCCGACCGTGGAACGCCACCTTGGAGATTCGCAAAGGAAAACAGGGCCTGTCCTCGTTATGCCAATCTTGATCTCCGGCTACATTTGCTCCAATTCCGCAAAGCCGGAACGTTGTAAAGGACTCGAGGGAACTGGCGATCTTGAAGAAGGCCCCCGGGGTCGCAGGGCGTTTCCTTTCTGCGCAGCCGCCCGAAGATTTCCCTCGCGGGTTGTAGAGGCAACAGCTCGACCGATCCGGTCTTGTCCAGACGAACTACCACCACGCTTACGCGCCTCCCCTTTTTCCTCAGAATCTGCTGCAAACTTCAGGCGCACCTATACCCAGACATCGGATGAGGCATCCGCCGGAGCATCTGCGCTTCTGAGTCGAATTGATGATCTCCGTTGATTCAACTCCTATATGCAGAAAGGGCTTCAGTGCATTCTTCCAAGACCGAACGTAGATAGAGCTTCCTTTATAGCTAAAGATAGGTTAACCCTTGGCTACTCTATGCTGTCATCAAAATCTCGGAGGGACATAGTTTTTAAGCTACTAAATTAGCCTTGCCTGTCGCATATATGAAATGCACAGCGGCGTCCGGCCTCCCGCCGGCGGGACCGGGAGGCCGGGAACGTGCCGCTGTGCATCGCATCTCTTGCTAGAGACAATTCCAAGTCGTTGCTTGATAGGCGCTTATTGTTGCTCCCCATCCTGTGATTGCTGCCAAGTGGAAAATCTGGTGCAGCCCTAGCGGAGCACGGGGGCATCAAAGCTATCCGAGTTCCCCGTTGCACAGGTTCCCTGCCCCGAGAGCTGTAGACTGTTCCCCAGTTCGAGACTTCTGTCCCCTTGAGCGTTACGACGGGTCGCCGCTGTACCGATTATCGTTGCTTGGACTGATTAATTGCTGAGCTTCCAGGCCTTTACCGTCAGGCGAGCCGTGGGGTTGTGCCAGTCGTGCATTGCTGGGTCGAGATCGGAGTCCGTGCCGCCGTGGACGCCGGCGTGGACATGGACGAAGCCTTCAGGATCGGCCGGATCGTGGGCGTGCTTCCCGCAGGGAGGCCCGGGTATGTAGGCGCAATCTTCGCTGTTCGCCTCGGTACCTGAGTCATAGGCGTTCAGATAAATGGTGCGCGACTTTGACAGGTCGAGGCCATTTGCGCCAATGAAGGCGTCGTTGGTGGAGACCAGCATGCTGACAAAGGACATTTCGCTGTTGCCGTCATCGATGTCGAAATTCATGGTGACGGTATCGCCGGGGTAGATAGGGCCGTCGCTCAAGGCAACGTTCATGGCTTCCACCACGTTGCCGTTGGTTTCAGGGTCCCACTCGGCGTTCAGGCCAGACGAGTCCGCGTCCTCGGCCATCTTGGCCAGGGCCTCACTGGCAGGCTGTCCCAGGGCGTAGAGGGAACCGGCGCCGGAGTCGTGGCGCGCGACGAACACGGGGGACAAAATCTGCCCCCGGGTCAAGTTGGTGATGGACACCTCCACCTTCATTTCTTCATCGTTCCCGTCGGCGCTCAACACGCCGCCTGCCAGCAATGCCAACAGAGCGATCAACCCGCCCAGTACGACGAATATGGACACTGTTTTTTTCATTCGAATTCCTCCAAAGTATGGGAGCCTGTTGTTCTACTTGGAATTTTCCCACCGGGAACGAATTTCGGATTTCTCTGAGTCTCAACCGTTCGTACCATTGATCTTTAGTGCCCTGCTACAACGGGCGTGTCGTGACTGCCCAGCCCAGCGGGCCTAGGAACGGCCATATGGGACTCGAAATCGCGGAGGGGAAAGAAATCCCATCTGCGGATGCCGGCCTCTATTTAAGGCAGGCATATGCAGCGTTGGGGAATTGCATCTAACCAACAATCAATCCGGGGACGATCTGCCAGGACTCAGCTTTGAATTCAAGTCAAGACTCTGGGTGAACCGGAAGGCCGCCTGATCGCAGGAGCAACCGCAATCCCAGTTACCGCGAGATGGAAAGCACACTTCGATGCAATCAGTTGAGGATTCTTCATGACACTTCTCCTTTGCCTCGGCCTGAAAGTTTGTATGCGTATTTACAATATAATATATCTACAATTTAGATTATAATACAGGCAAATTACTGTCAATATAATTTATTGATATTCACAATATCGTCACAAATAAAGACAGGCCGGGTATCTTGAGGTACAAGGAATCTTTGCAGGACCGGGTGCAGAGTGACGACTCTTCACCGGTTGTGCCTGTCGCAACCCTACCTCGACAATGGGTGAGTGGTTAGAGACTCTGTCCAGCGTAAGGTTCTGGTGTAAACTTGCGGCTGCAGGCTAGGTAAACCCAGTTGGTGCCGGGTTTTAGGCCAACTGTCTTTAGACTCAGTGCCTAAGAACCAGAGCTTAACGAGAAAAGGAGTCATGAAAATGGCGACTCAAACCCTGTCCATTGACTGCCAAGTCCACTCCTATTTGCGAAATACTCCTGAGAGACCTTGGCGAGGTCACCTTGAGGGACCCGACGAGGTCACCGGCGACGATATGGTGGCTGCCATGGACGCCGTGGGAGTAGACGGGGCTATCCTGATCTCACCGTTCTCGCTGTACGGCTACGACGCCAGTTACGCCCTCGAGGTCTACTCGCAGCATCCTGACAAGTTCGGGGTGGTCAGACCCTTTGACCCGGAATCCGCGACCATCGAGGACGATGTGGCGGAGTGGACCAGCACCACTGGTGTGGTCGGCGTGCGTGTGATGTTGGGAGCGATCGAGGCGGAGCCGGACCATCCTGGGCTGAACCGCATTTTTGCAGCCTGCGCCAAGGCCGGGGTACCGGCGAACGTAATGGCTGCAGGCAAGCTGCCGCTCATGAAGGGGCTGGCAAGCCGCAACCCCGACACACAGTTCATCGTCGACCACGTCGGACTGGCGCAGCCGTTTGTTCCGCCTGCACCGCCGGAGCCTTTCGCCGATCTGCCAAACGTCATCGGGTTGGCAGAGCTGGACAACGTCGTGATCAAGATCTCGGGAGCCTGCACGCTTTCGCACGAGCCCTTCCCATACCCGGATATCTGGGAGCCCTTGGGACGAATATTCGACGCTTATGGGCTCGAGCGCTGCATGTGGGGGACCGACTGGACGCGGGCGGTCAGGTTGCTGACCTTCGAGCAGGGCGTGGAGGCATTCCGGGTAACGGACAAGTTATCTGATTCAGACCGGGCCGTTCTGATGGGTGGAACTCTGTCACGGATCTACAAGTGGTCGCCGGGGGCGTAGGCGACGTAGCTCGGAAACAAGTCAAAACTAACAACGCTTTAGAACTGCCAGAGAAACCGAAGGGCCCCTTGCCGCGCAGCAAGGGGCCACTGTCGTCCCCAGTATTATTGGCCAGACTAGATTGTTGTTGGGGAATACCGGTCGCGGAGACGAGCTATCAGGGGGAGTACGGTAGCCTTTGCCCGAACTACCCTCCGGAATTTTCGATGCTTTTCATAAACTGGTGAGTCCTGCCGGCCAGTTCATCTGGGATCTCTACCTTCATGTTGTGGCCCACGCCATCGTATACCTCCAGTGTCGTATGAGGCATCCGGGCTGCCATCATTTTCTGCACGTCCAGGGGTGTGATGTCGTCGTTTGAAGCGGCCAGCACCAAAGTCGGGGCAGATATTTCGGACAGCAGGGGAGTCAGGTCTTCGGCGAGGAGGCAGCCCTGGAGGGCAAGAACGGCGGGTGAGGGAGTCTTTGCCCCCTCGTCTGCGTACCATTCGATGACTCCCCTGCCGGTATCGGGCCCGAACCGTTTGTCAGTGTCGGACAGAAGCCACGCTCGGGTGCCCTCCCGCTCAAGGATACCCCGCCAGGCTCCCGCGTTCATGTTTGCGCCCATCTGGGCGAGCCTGGGAGTTGACGCGACCAGCGTCAAGCTGTGCAACCGGTCGGGGAAATCGTGGGCGAAACGGAGGCTGACGATGCCACCAGCCGAAGCTCCCACCAGATGCACTTTTTCAATGTCCAGGCCATCCATGATCCGGGCAATGTCGGCAGCCAAATCGGGCAGAATAAAGCGCATATCGGGAGGCGGCGGGGTGCCGGCGTGCCCTCGCATGTCGAAGCGCACCACCGGGCGGTGCCGGGCCAGTGTTGGAACCCAGGCCCGCCAGCGGTGAAGGTTGCCGCCGGCAGCATGGTGTAGGAGGACCGGTTGTCCGGGGTCCCAGGGATCTGAAAAGTCATCGACGTGGTAGTGGAATCTGTAGCCGCCAACTTCAAGAACCGGCATGTGCTCTCCGAATCTATGGGTGTGGAATTATCGTGCTGCCAGAGACCATTTGCCAAGGGTCAAGTGAAAGGGGGTAAGATATCATTTTTCGAAGGCAAGGGCCTTCATCCGGCTTCCGTAAAACCCTCTTTGCATCGTAGAGCTGACCGCCCTGCGAAGTCCGACACAGCGGGTGCGATGCTTGACGCGCCAAACTGGGAAAACATATAATCTCGTAAGTAGGATTTTGAAAAGTGCCTAAGAGAACGTATCAACCGAAAAAGCGCCGCCGCGCTCGCGTACACGGGTTCCGCTCCCGATCGGCAACGTCGGATGGACGTGCGGTATTGCGGAGGCGGCGGTTCAAGGGCCGACACAAGTTAAGCGTGTGACAAGCGGTGCCTCGTGATGCAACAGAGTCACCGCATTTCGGGCGACAAACGGCATTCCCAGATTCACCGCGAGGGATCCAGCGCCGCCAATAGGCTGCTGGTAATTCGCTTCTTGGCCAACAATCTGGACCATAGCAGGTTCGCCTTCGTGGTCAGCAAGAGGGTTGGCAATGCCGTTGCCCGGAACCGTATCAAACGCAGGCTGAGGGAATCCGTTCGTGGGTGTGACGTGCACTCCGGATGGGACGCGGTATTTATAGCCCGCCGGGGCGTTCAGAACGCCACATTCCACGACCTGAACCGCGCCGCGCTCAACCTGCTAAGACGAAGTCGTATAGCGGTTTCAGAAGGGCAACGGCCCAATGTCGCCGCAGTTGACAGTGAGGTTTCCAATTCTGGCGGGGAATCAACCAAATGAAGTCGGCTGTTCTTTGGTGCATACGCGCCTATCAATGGTCCATTTCCCCGCTATTGCCAAGTTCTTGCAGATACCTTCCCACTTGCTCGCATTATTCCCACGACGCAGTGAACCGATACGGCGTGTTGAAAGGTGCCTTTCTTGGCGCCAAACGTCTGGCCCGATGTCATCCCTTGGGAGGCAAGGGATACGACCCGGTGCCTTGAGTTATCGGACTCTCCGTTTGAGCTGAATTTGCTCCAGCCCTTTTTCCGTCTCGCCAGTAGACACCATACGATTACACGGCCCAGCCGTAGAACCCGGTCGGGGAGCGCTCTCGATGAACCGTCAAAGGGCGGTGCTTGGCCGAGCCCTTTGAACTCGAAGGCATTGCTCCTCCTGCTGGCCCTTTCGCTTTTGTCCCTCTTGGCACTACTTGGATGCACCCGCGATATCGGAGGTGTCAGTTCGGGCTGGAACTCACTAACCGTGGGCGACGAGGTGGTGTACGTCGGCACCAAGGATGGGCGAATACAGGCCCTGACTGACCGCGGGGATGGTGTTTTCCCTCCCAAATGGAGCTACCCCCAAAACACTGAAGGTGGGGAGTCTCTTCAGGGAATGTACAGTTCCCCGCTGCTGGCATCCGGACTTCTGATAGTGGCTGCGGAAAGTGGGTACGTTTACGCTCTGGATCCTGAGAACGGCAGCGTGTCCGAACGCGGATGGCGGCGGCCCCTGGGGCAGGCGGAGGAACTGTCTCCCCTTGTGGCAGGGCCCGCTTACGAGCCAATCAACCGGTTGGTACTGATTGCCTCCGAAGACGGCAATCTCTACAGCTACGACGCTGAGACAGGGGATCCCGTGTGGAAGCCCTTCCAGACCGGCGACAAGATCTGGTCCACGCCAGCCGTGGGAAACCTGGACGGGATACCCGTCATTTTCTTCGGATCCCACGACAACCACGTGTACGCGGTCGACGCCGCCGACGGTACGGAACTGTGGAGGTTCAAGACCGGCGGAGTAGTAGCGGGCAGGCCTCTCGTGCTGGACCGCACGGTAATAGTTGGTTCCTTTGACAAGAAACTGTACGCCCTTGACGCCTATGACGGCACAAAGTTGTGGGAGTTCGAGGGTAGGAACTGGTTCTGGGCGGGCGCCGTGAGCAACGGCAGAACGATTCTAGCTCCCAGTATGGATGGACACATCTACGCCTTGAACCAATCCGGCATCCTGGAGTGGGAATTCGATACGGGCGCTGCGGTTGTGTCCTCTCCCGTGCTGGTGCCGAAGGGTCTTGTGGTGGCCAATAGGGATGGAGACCTTATTCTCTTAGATATTTCACCCGGCGCAGGCCAACGGGAACTGCACCGGTTGACCTTGGGCGATGCCGAGATCCTGGCGCCGCTGCACGCCGTTGAAAATACCGTTTACGTCGGTTCTAACGATGGGAGCGCTCGCCGGGTGGAAGTGCATGAGCAGTTCTCGGAGGCGGTGCTGACAGCTAGGGCGTGCTGGCACTACGAAGAGGAGTGCCGCTGATGCGGCCCAGCACTACATTGAACTGCCTGATGCGGGACCGCGTGCGCATCGCGGTTCCGGCGAATAGGTAGGACTCATTGGGAATCGACGACCTCTGGCGAGAAATAATAATTCGGCCCATGTTGAACCTGCTGGTGGTTCTCTACACCATCTGCTTCAGGAACTTGGGTATATCCATAATCGTTTTCACCATCTTGGTGCGCTTGGTGACGCTGCCCTTGACCATCAAACAACTCCGCCAGATGAAAGCGATGACTGACCTGCAACCTCGGATGCGCGAGATCCAGGAACGCTACGGGCGGGACAGGCAGCGCGTTTCCCAAGAGACGATGCGGCTTTACCGGGAGGCAGGTGTCAACCCGGTAGGGTGCCTGGGCCCGCTGGTAATCCAGATGCCCATCCTGTTCGGGCTTTTCCGGGTGCTCATTCAGACGGTATACTCGCGTCCTGACCACTTGGTGGCTCTGGCCGAGAAGTTCTACGCGTGGATACCGGTGTTCCCTATCTACACCGCTGCGCCGCTGAGCGCTGCCTTCCTGTGGCTGGACCTGTCGGAGCCAGATCCGACGAACGTCATCTTGCCGGTGCTGGTGTTTGTTTCCACCTGGCTCCAGCAGAAGATGACGATGACCCCGTCCACAGACCCACGTCAGTCCACGAACCAGATGATGATGCTGTGGCTGATGCCGTTAATGATCGCCTTCTTCTCTTTCACGCTACCCAGCGGCCTGTCTCTGTACTGGGTCGCCTCTAATTTAATCGGTATCGGTATCCAATATTTCATAACCGGATGGCAGCCAATTTTCCCGTTGTTCCCGAAGGCGGAGCCGGTGCCGGGCGACTGCACCGTCTGCGTCATCAAGCTATGATGAACCTGAGGAGGTTGATGGCGATGCAAGAACCTCTCGTAGTGAGCGCGCGAACCGTCGAAGAGGCAATCGATCTGGCGCTGAAGGAGCTCGACGTCGACCGAGACGCGGCCGAGGTCGAAGTACTAAGTAGGGGCAAGGCTGGTTTTCTTGGCATCGGCGCAGAACTGGCGCGCGTGCGAGTTACCCTCGAGAGCAACGCACGCACCGTGCCTCTGAAGTCGGAGACTGGGAGCAGACCCCGGCGCCTTGCGACCGCGGCCGTTGGCCAAATCCTGCTGGAGTCGGCGGGAGTCACGTAACCGCACGTTGCGGTCTGCCCACGTACGCCGACGCCGGAGGTCCAATCAATTGACTTGGGAGGACTCTGACTGCTCATTGGTCCCGCGTGGACAAACCCTGCAGCGCTCAGTTCATCGTAACCTTGATTGTCCGGAAGTCAGTATGAAACGAGGACGTCCGGTGTGTGGGCTCTGACGTGGAGAGAACTACCGGCAACGCCGAGGAGAGACGAGCCTCTCTGCGGGACATGGCCGACAAAGTTGCTTCAAGGGTTTTGCCCAGACGAACTCGGAGCATCACGCTGGAACCGATGTCACCCGCCGACGCCGATCGCGAATCATACACACATCCCTGCCGCGAGCACCCGGATGTCGACGGAGAGAGAGACGCTGGGCGAAGCGAGAATCGCAAGGTTACCATCATGCCCTACCGCAGAGACTAGCAGGATACCAAGTCAGATTATCTTGTTGTCACACGTTCCCAGAGCAGCGGTCGCACTATTAAGACCCGCCACGCTGCCGCTTTGATACCATTGGGGTTGGTTTCAGAGGGAGACAAACTGGGACGGCAAGAGAATCAAAGAAATAAAGGAGCCGAGGAGGGCCTTACTTTGATCGCGATTGAACCACTCGAGAAGTCGTTGCAGAGATCTATGAAAGGCTGGACAAGAACCTCAACGTCGTTCGTTCCGTCCAGAACCGCCCGCTGACCCTGGCCGACAAGATTCTGCTAAGCCATCTTGATGACCCGGCCACCACCGGCATGGTACGTGGCCAGACGTACGTGCAGCTCCGACCGGATCGCGTGATACTGCAGGACGTGCTTGGCCAAACCGCGATGCTGCAGTTCATGCAGACCCGCCGCACTACCACTGCAGTGCCGACGTCGGTTCACTGTGACCACCTGATCCAAGCCCGCGTTGAGGGTTCCCTCGACCTGACCGAGTCCTTGGCAGAAAACGACGAAGTCTACAATTTCCTGCGGACTGCCTCAGCCAAGTACGGTGTCGGATTCTGGTCGCCGGGCGCGGGAATAATCCACCAAGTCGCCTTTGAGAATTACGCCTATCCTGGCGAAATGATGCTGGGCACCGATTCCCACACGCCGATGGGCGGCGGCCTCGGCTCCATCTCCGTTGGCGTGGGCGGGGCCGATGCCGTTGAGGTTATGGCCGGACTGCCGTGGGAGGTGCTGTATCCTCGCTTTATTGGTGTGCGCCTTACAGGAAAGATGAGCGGCTGGACTGCCCCGAAGGATGTGATCCTCTACCTCGCCGGAGAGCTCAGCGTGTCCGGCGGAACAAACGCGATAATCGAGTACTTCGGCCCGGGCGCGGCATCCATCAGCGCCACCGGCAAGGCCACCATCACCAACATGGGGGCCGAACTGGGCGCCACCACCTCAGTGTTCCCGTACGACGAGCGAATGGCGCGCTACCTGCGCTCCACCCGGCGCGGGGACCTTGCTGAACTGGCTGACAAATATCGGCATCTGTTGACCGCCGACTCGGAATGCGAGGCCAACCCTGATCAGTATTACGACCGGATCGTGGAGATCAATCTGTCAGAGTTGGAACCTCACTTGGTGGGGCCCCACTCGCCTGACCGGGCCCGGCCCATATCCCAGATGGCGGCAGAGCTGAAGGAAGACGCCGGACTCGTTGACTCAATTTCGGCGGCCCTGATCGGAAGTTGCACCAACTCGTCCTACGAGGACATGAGCCGTTCTGCGGACGTTGCCGAGCAAGCCAAGGCCAGGGGATTGAAGTCCGCGGTTCCATTTATGGTCACCCCCGGCTCGGAGCAGGTCCGGGCAACCATCGAACGCGACGGCCAGATGCGGTCGCTAACCGACATCGACGCCACGGTGCTGGCCAACGCCTGTGGCCCATGCATCGGCCAGTGGCGCCGTGCCGGCGAGTCGGTGGGGAATCCAAACACGATTGTCACGTCCTACAACCGAAACTTCCCGGCCCGAAACGACGGCCAACCCTCAACCATGAACCTGATCGGCAGCCCGGAGATCGTGACGGCTTTGGCCATTGGCGGTCGGTTGTCCTTCAACCCACTGACCGACACCCTGACCGCTGCAGACGGCTCTGAGTTCCGCCTTGACCCACCCGCCGAGGCACCGGAGGTTCCGCCTGCTGATTTTGAGGAGGGCCGTTCCTTTTATCAGGCCCCGCCGGACGACGGCAGTGCTATCGAACTGACTGTATCCCCGGACAGCGAGCGCATTCAGCTGCTGGAGCCGTGGCCAGCCTGGGACGGTAACGACTTCACCGATATGCCTGCGCTACTGAAGGCCAAGGGCAAGACCACCACCGATAGCATCTCGCCCGCAGGTGTGTGGCTGCGGTTCCGAGGCCACTTGGACCGGTTCAGCGATAACATGTTCATGGGCGCCATCAATGCCTACACCGACGAGGCCGGCAAAGGACTGAATGTCGTGACAGGCGAGACGGGCCAGGGCTTCTCCAGGATAGCCCGCAACTACAAGGCCCAGGGCGTGAAGTGGGTGGCCATTGGCGACTTCAACTACGGCGAGGGCAGCAGCCGAGAGCATGCCGCCCTGTCTCCCCGCCTGCTGGGTGGAGCAGCGGTCATCGCTCGCAGCTTCGCACGCATTCACGAGAGCAACCTGAAGAAGCAGGGTCTGCTGGCGCTGACCTTCACTGACCCCGATGACTATGAGCGTATCCGCGAAGACGACCGAAATCAGCCTTACTGACCTCAATCACATCGCTCCCGGCAAGCTGGTGCAGTGCACGGTCAACCACAGCGACGGGACGTCCGAGACCCTTGATCTGCAGCATTCATACAGCGAGTCGCAGCTCGAATGGTTCCGGCTGGGCTCGGCGCTCAACCTGTTCCATCAATAGAATTGTGGAAGGCACTCCGGCTGCAACCGAATATTACAACTCTCCAGCCCGCTCATCTTCGCGAAGCAATCGGATGAGCGGGCAGTCACCTTCAAGGCAAATGCGACGCCATTATTAGTTGCAGACGACCTAGTTAACACTACATAACATGTGAACCGGTCGAATCTGCTGTTGACCGCTTGAGAAAGGGGCCGATAGAATAGCCTAGTGAACAGTGAGCCGGACTTCCCAAAGGTCTATGGCGCGTTCGACAGCCCTCGCGAGGAATGCGGGGTAATAGCTGTATACTCCCCTGACGAATCTGCAAGCCGCCTCACCTTCTTCGGCCTCTTCGCTCTCCAGCACCGCGGACAGGAAAGCGCGGGCATCGCCTCCAACACCGGCGACGGCATCGCGGTGCATGCCGAAATGGGCTTAGTTTCGCAAGTTTTTCGGGAGGCGGACTTCGCGCCTCTATCCGGAGAACTGGCCATCGGCCACACTCGATATTCCACCACCGGCAGCAGCGAGTTGTGCAATGCGCAGCCCCTCGTAGTGGACGGACCGGCCGGTACATTGGCGCTTGCCAACAACGGCAACATCATCAATGCCCTGCAGTTGAAAGAGCAACTCGAGGATGAACGCGGCTGTTCATTCGTCTCGACCACCGATACCGAAGTAATCGCCAATATGGCGGTGAATGCAGCGGGCACAAGCTGGGAGGAACGTATCTTCCAGTGCATGCGCCGCCTCGAGGGGGCATTCTCTCTCGTCGGACTTACCAGCGACAGCGTGATCGCCGCCAGAGACCCATTGGGCATCCGTCCCCTCTGCCTGGGAAAGCGTGGGGATGGCTGGATCGTCGCTTCCGAGAGCTGTGCCCTCGACAACCTGGGGGCGGAGTTCGTTCGCGAGATCGAACCCGGCGAAGTCGTGGTGATTGACGCCGATGGACTTCGGTCAGCCATCTGGCCTGGAGTGCGGGAGGGCAAGAGCCGCGCCCTCTGTGTTTTCGAACTCATCTATTTCTCCCGGCCAGACAGCTCCTTAGACGGCCACCTGGTGCATTCCAGGAGGCAGGAAATGGGCGCCGAATTGGCACGGGAGCACCCAGTCGATGCAGACCTGGTCATCGGTATCCCCGATTCGTCCACTGCGGCGGCTGTGGGCTATGCCCTGGAGTCAGGCATTCCCTTCACCGAGGGACTCATCAAGAACCGCTACGTGGGCCGCACTTTTATCGAGCCGGAACAGAGGCTGCGCGACCTGGGAGTACGTCAAAAGTTCAACACTTTGGGCGAGGTCATCAAGGGCAGGCGCATCGTGGTGGTAGACGATAGCATCGTCCGCGGCACCACGACACCTCACGTCGTGAATCTGCTGAGAAAGGCAGGGGCCGCGGAGGTTCACATGCGGGTCTGCGCGCCGCCCATCCGCCATCCCTGCTTCATGGGCGTGGACATGGCGTCTCGCCGGGAGCTGCTGGCGGCCAATAACACAGTGCCGGAGATACAACAGATCATAGGCGCAGACAGCCTGGGGTACCTGAGCGTTAAAGGCCTGATGAAGGTGGTCGGCGGCCAAGAGGGCGGATTCTGCGATGCCTGCTTCACGGGAAACTATCCGGTGCCGGTGCAGTTGGACTTGGACAAATTGACCTTGGAGAAATCTCGCCACTAGGCTCCCATGCCCCGCTCCGTACGCCCTTCGCCTGATTGAACTCGTGAAACCATTTTCTCTCCCCCTACGTTCCATTCCCTTGCCAGCCAACTGCTGCGCCGTACTGGATACAACTGATGTTCAAAGAAATCTCTGGACAGTGAGGAACCCGAGTTGAACGGCAGTCTTCCCGCGGATTCGTACCGGCGGTCCGGCGTTGACCTGGATCGTATGGATGAGTTGAAGGACCGTATCCGTGGACTGGCGGCCAGCACACACGGACCGGAAGTGATCGAAGGCGGGAGCAGCTTCGCCGGCCTTTTCCAGATGGGTGGCGACTCTGGCCCGGTGCTGGTGGCAAGTACCGACGGCGTGGGCACCAAGCTCAAAATTGCAGCGCAACTGGGGCACTTCGAATCAATAGGTCGCGACCTGGTGACCCTCAACGTTAACGACATTCTCACCAAGGGTGCGCGGCCTCTGTTCTTCCTCGATTACGTCGCGTTCAGCGACGTGGACTCACAATCCCTCGATTCGCTGATGAGAGGCATCGCCTGGGGATGTCGCGAGGCGCAGTGCGCCCTGATCGGCGGCGAAACAGCCCAGATGCCCGGTGTGTACGCAGATGGCGAAATGGACCTGGCAGGGTTCGTAGTGGGCGTCGTCAAGCGTGAAAACCTGCTTGAGCCGGGCCGGGTGCGGGAGGGAGACCAGCTGCTCGGCATTAGGTCCAGTGGCCTGCACACCAATGGGTACTCGCTGGTCCGCAGTGTGTTTAACACCGACGACGATCCAGCAGCACTGTTCCGACAGTACGATGGGATGAGCCACCAGCTTGGCGAAGAGCTCCTGCAGTACCACCGCAGCTATTACCCTATGTTGGCTCCCGCCCTGGGGCTGCTCAGCGGCCTGGCCCACATCACGGGTGGCGGACTACCCGGCAAGCTCCCGGCGGTCCTGCCCGACGACCTCGCCGCCACCATCAGTGTTGGCTCGTGGACACCGCCACCGATTTTCGCACTGTTGCAGCGAGAGGGCGGGATCTCCGATGACGAGATGTTCCGAGTGTTCAACATGGGCCTGGGAATGGTGGCCGTATGCCCTGAGTCCAACGTTACCTCATTCCGTGAACTGATTCCCGAAGCATTCCCGGTAGGGCAGGTAGTCCGCTGGGAATCCGGCGACCAGGTTATTCTAGCCTGAAATCCGCAGTTGACCGTCGGGTCAATTGCTCACCTTACGGAGACAGAACTTGAGAGCGTTAATCAGCGTGTATGACAAGACCGGCGTGGTCGAGTTTGCCCGTCGCGTCGCCGCAGCAGGCTACGAACTGGTCAGCACCGGTGGTACTCACCGCACGCTATCCGAGGTGGGCGGTCTGAACGTTCGACAGGTGGCCGACGTCACCGGCTCGCCGGAAATCTTGGACGGTAGGGTCAAGACGCTACACCCCGTGATCCACGGCGGCCTGCTGGCTCGCCGGGAGGCGCCCGAGCAGATGGCCGAGCTGTCGGCCCACGGCATCGAAACCATCGACCTGGTTGTGGTGAACCTCTATCCCTTCGTCGCCACCATCAGCAGGCCGGACGTAACGCTGGACGACGCGCTGGAGAACATTGATATCGGCGGTCCAACCATGCTCCGCGCTGCCGCCAAGAACTTCCCCTCCGTGGCCGTGGTGGTGGACCCGGAGGACTACGGATGGGTGGCTGACAAGCTGGCAGACGGCGGCTTGACTACCGAAGATCGGCGAGGGTTGGCGGCCAAGGCCTTCCGACACGTTTCCGAGTATGACTCGGCCGTTACAGGTTACCTGTCGACGCCGAGGGAACAAGAACAACTGCCCGACCGTCTTACCATATCTCTGGACAAGGTCTCGGGCCTACGCTACGGCGAGAACCCCCACCAGTCAGGGGCGCTCTACGCCCCGGTCGGCGTTGCGCCGAACGGCATCGCCGGGGCGACGCAACTTCACGGCCGCGAGCTGTCGTACAACAACCTGATGGACGCCGATGCAGCCTGGCGCACCGTATCGGACTTCGCCGAACCGACCGTGGCCGTTGTGAAGCACAACAATCCCTGCGGGCTCGCCACCCGCGAGGTCATCGCGGAGGCGTACGAACTGGCCTACGAAGGCGACACCGTCAGCGCCTTCGGCGGAATCGTGGCCATCAACCGCACGGTCGACGCCAAGACGGCACAGGCGATGGACGCGATATTCTACGAGGTCGTGATCGCCCCAGGGTACGACGACGACGCGCTTGCCATCCTGCAGCGGAAGCGCAACCTGCGCATCCTGACCGTAGGTTCGGAACCCTCTGGGAAGGCCCTGGACCTGCGCCCGATATCGGGCGGAATGCTGGTGCAGGGCGCCGATGACATTGAAGAGAACCCTACGGAATGGAAGACGGTTACAGAGAGGGAACCCAGCGCGACGGAGAGGCAGGATCTGGCGTTCGCCTGGAAGGCGGCCAAGCACATTAAGTCCAACGCCATCGTGTTCGCCAAGGACCGGGCATTGGTTGGCATGGGTGCGGGTCAGCCCAACCGGGTGGTTAGCGTGCATCTCTCGCAGCGCATCGCGGGCGACAGGGCCAAGGGCGCCGTGCTGGCCTCCGACGCCTTCTTCCCATTCCCAGACAACATCGAGCTGGCCGCAGAGGCCGGCATAACCGCCATCGCGCAGCCAGGCGGGTCGGTACGGGATGAGGAAGTCATCGCGGCCGCCGACAAGGCAGGCTTGGCGATGGTGTTCACTGGGGTGCGCCATTTCCGCCACTAGGCCAACTGTCCCGGAACGCAGACCATGAGCGCCAGTATCGATATCGTCATACCCGTCTACAACGAGGAGGATGCGCTGCCGGTCAGCATCCCGAAGTTGTGCTCATTTCTGAGGAACAATCTGGCCATCCCCTGGCGGGTGACCATCGCCGACAATGCTTCCATCGACGGCACGCGCGCTGTTTCAGAGGAACTGTCGCGTGAGGCAGAGGGGGTCAACTACCTCTACTTGCCGGAAAAGGGGCGAGGCAGGGCGCTCCGTGCCGCGTGGCTGGGCAGCGAGTGCGATTACGTGAGCTACATGGACGTGGACCTGTCCACCGACCTTTCGCACTTCCCTGCGCTGGTGGGCAAGCTGGAGTCAGGTTGGCACGTGGCCATCGGCAGCCGCCTCAGCCGAGGCTCGAATGTGACGCAGAGGAGCTTCAAGCGAGAGTTGACGTCGCGGACTTACAACAAGCTGATCTGGTCCCTGTTTTTCGTCGGGTTCCCTGACGCCCAGTGCGGCTTCAAGGCTATGACGCGGCAGGCGGCACAGGCCATCATCCCTCAAGTCAAGAACAACAACTGGTTCTTCGACACTGAGTTGCTGATCATCGCGGAGAAGCGGGGCTACCGTATCGGCGTGGTTCCCGTGGCCTGGGAAGATGACCCCTCCAGCACTGTCAATGTGGTCAAAACTGCCACCGAGGACATCAAGGGCCTGCTCCGCCTGCGCTTTGGCGGCATCCCCAGGGTCGACCCTCCTCCTCCGTAGCCCAACCCTCTGCTGTAACTCCCTTTCCCGCTCTTTCTCTCCTTTGGTTGAGACAAAATAAGGACGTGCCTGTCATGGAACTTGGACTAGCTGGAAAGACTGTCATCATAACCGGCGGCGGCTCCAACATCGGCCGAGGCATCGTCCACGCCTTCGGCGAAGAAGGCAGCAACATCGTGATTGCCGAGCTCGACCCGGCTCAGGGCCAGCGTGTGGCCGACGAGGTGGCGGCCAAGGGGACAGGCAGCCGGGCTATGGTGGTGGCCACTGACGTCACCAACCACGAGTCAGTCGATGCGATGGTGGAGGTGGCGACCGCCGAGTTCGGCCACGTGGACGTGCTGGTGAACAATGCCGGCTGGACCATCGACCGGCTGTTCCTGGAGAAACCACGTGAAGAGTGGGAGCGGGAGGTGCAGGTGAACCTGTGGGGGGCCATCAACTGCATTCACGCCGTGTTGCCGGGCATGGTGGAGCGCCAAGGCGGCAGCATCGTCTGCCTGAGCTCAGACGCTGGGCGCATTGGCGAGTACCGGGAGGCTGTTTACTCCGCATGCAAGGCAGGGGTTATCGCCCTCAGCAAATCCATTGCCCGCGAGACCGGACGCCATGGCCTGCGGCTGAACTGCGTCTGCCCCGGCCTGGTTGTCCCGCCTGAAGAGGAGAGCATCAGCGAGACCAGCATGTGGCACCAGATGCGCGGAGTCTTCACGCCAGAGGCCCGCGAGCGCGCCATCCGTGCCTACCCCCTCCGTCGCATGGCGGAGGCACGCGAGATCGCCAACGCCGTCGTCTTCCTCGCCTCAGACGCCGCTGGCTTCATTACCGGCCAAACCCCTTAGCGTCAGCGGCGGCTATACGATGGCCTAGTTGGTTATGGTGGGGCGATGTCCTCGGCCAAGGGGCCATGCGTCGGCGGGCCGTAGTGACTGACTAACGGGATCTACGAGCAGGTTGAATATTTCCAAAGCGGTAGCGCCTAGGAGGGCATTGTCATTAGGGCCGAAGACAACCGGACAAGACCAGCTTTCGCCATTGAAATTTACAAGGGCTGGACCATAGGGGAACTCAATTTTACGACCGTCGGCAACCGTGTACTCGAGAGACCGGACAGGTTGGAAATGAATCTTGGCGAGTAAAGATGCTGGAAACATGGAGTCGGTTCCCCTGGCGTCGACCATGGCATCTACTTCCACGAAATCCCCACCATCAGGGTTTCCACCTTCACTGATTGCCAAAAAACGCCCATGTCTCTGTTCCTTACCAAATAATTCCCCTGAGACACTATTCTCGGCATTGCCTCCACACCATCGCGGGGGCAATGCTTATCTGCAGCCCAGCTTAATCCCCGCGAGATTCCTGCAGTGAGTCGTATCGATGCGCCAATTGGACATCGTCCGAAATAGAAAGGCCCCGGCAAGAGCCGGGGCCTCTGGTCGCGTTAGGTGATCCGTAGGCGTCTAGGTTAGAGCGCGGCGACCTTCTCGCGGAGGGCCTCAATCTCGGCCATGATCTGGGCCTTGGGGTCGTCCTTGCCGCCGTTGTTCATCTCGACCAGCTCCCAGGAGCGGGCCTCGATTGCCGGCATCGTTGCCTGGAGCAATTCCTCGTCCACGTCGTTGGCGATGGTGGGGTAGCCGGCGCGGGCGATCATGCTCTTGATCTTGCCCTGCTTGAACTGGTCCAAAGTCCAGGCCAGGGTTTCGCCGGAAGTGGTGACGTCCCAGTAAATCCGGACGTCCTGATTGCGCGGGCCGTAGTGGTAGTGCGGGCCGTTCTGGAAGCAGTCGAAGGCCAGCAGCTCGACTTCCTGACCGGCGATGTCGGACAGGACGTGGATGGCCATGCCCTCGTCGTTGATCTGCGGCAGGTGGCGGTACTCGAGACCGAACTTCAGGTTACCTACCTGGATTTTGTCGCCATCCAGCATTTCGGGCATCATGTGATGCACTGTGCGGCGTCCGCCGTTGGCCATCCCACGAGCGGTGGCCTCAGCCTCGTCTAGCTTTGCGGCGTCGACCGGGTGGGCTTCCAGCTTGTCGGCCAGTTCGTCGTAGCCGGAGCGGCGAACCATGGTCGGCAGGTTGTTGCGAATGTTGCCGATGGTCCAGCCGAGGGGATTGCCGGCAGTGGTCTTGTCCATGAACAAGCGGATGTTGTGGTTCTCCGGGCCGTAGTGGTAATGCGGGGCCTGGTCGAAGCAGTCGAAGCGCAGGATCTCGGTGTCCTTGCCGTCGATCTCCGAATAGACCTGCAGGCACAGGCCCTGGTCGTCCATGATTTCCGCACGATAGCTCATCGCGATGTCGATGGGGCCGGCGTTGATAACGGTACTGCCCTTTTCCACGTTGTGCCTCCTCTATATTTGTAAATAGTTTTGAGTGGCGATTTCGGGCGATTTACGCCGCCCGTGATGCCTATGAATTATATCACGCCGGGTTATACTGGCAAGCGCAAACTGACAGAGGCCGCCCTCAAAGCCGGGGCGAGACATAATGACCATCTTCCGGCCGGGAAACCCCGTTCCACCATTCGCGACAAGACCCATCCTCTTGCCTCTGCGATAGGATTTTTGGCACTGCAGTTCATTAGGTTCCAAAGATTCTGCCTGACGCAGAATTGGATCGTTGAAACCTAACATCAATCAGTAGACAGGTAGATTTTGCAGGGCCCTTACCTTCAGGTGCGCTAGCACAACCGGCCGTCTCTATCGTTCGAAGTATTCTGAGTAGTTTGAAGCACAACACGTTAATAACGGCATCAAGAAAATAGCCAGCAACTGGCAAGGAGACACCAGCATGGAAATCGGAGTTTCGATGCCCCGCATACCCGACGGCCCGGGCCTGCGGGAGTTCGCGCAGGCCGCCGAGGCGATGGGGTTCGAGTCGGTGCTCATCGGCGACCACATCGTGCTGCCCACCGGCGGGACGACGCAGTGTACCCTTACACGCCGACTGGCGGGTTCTCACGGCCTACGGACGAGCCGTTCCTGGAGACAATGACACTGCTCGGCTACCTGGCGGCCTGCACCGATCGCATCAAATTGGGCAGCACGGTGCTGATCCTACCTTACCGAAATCCCGTCGTGCAGGCCAAGATGTTCGCATCGCTGGACTCGCTGACCGGCGGGCGCATGATCTGCGGCGTCGGTGTGGGATGGCTGGAGAAGGAATTTGACACCCTCGGTGTGAGCTACGCGGAGCGCGGACCAATTACCGACGAGTTCCTGGAGATTTTCAGGACGCTGTGGTACGACGAGAACCCGGAACACCACGGAAAGCACTACGACTTTGAAGGTATCCAGTTCTATCCCAAGCCGGTGCAGAATCCGTTGCCGATCTGGGTCGGCGGCCACACCCGTGCCGCACTGCGGCGCACTGCGAAGTACGGCGACTGCTGGCACACCACACGGCAGACACCGGAGTTCGTCGCGTCTCACATTCTCTACCTGTCCCAGCAGATTGAACGGCACGGCCGCAAACTGGAGGACGTTACCGTCTCGCTGAAGCGCAGCCTCCACTTCAACGACATCGGCCTGCCTGAGATGGCCACCGAACGCAGTGGGGGCGCCCTGATATGTAGCACTCAGGAGGTAGTAGACGACCTCCACGCGTGCCACGAGATCGGTATCGACCAACTCACCTACGACTTTCGCGTAAACGAGCTTTCCGACTGCATCCGGGTGATGGAGAGGCTGGCTGAGGCGGTCTTGCCGGTGGCCGGACGGCTTGAGTAACGGGCCTGGGTAACGAAGGTTCCGCTGGATAGCGGGCGGTTTGCTACAGCCCGCTGTCCTTGAACCACTTGGCGCGCTTCACCAACTCTTCCGTCGTATGGCGCATTGCCGTCAGCTGTTTCTCAGTTACGGGGCGCTTCACAACGCCGGGGATTCCCGTCACAAACGAGTTGGCCGGGATCTGCGTTCCGGCCAGCACCGCCGAGTTGGCGGCTACAAGACAGTCTCTCCCAGGTTGACTTTGTTCAGAATCGTGCAGTTGTTCCCCAACAGGGAGCCGCGGCCCACTCGGTCGCAGTGGACTACAACGCTGTGTCCCACCGATACGTGGTCCTCCAGCGTGAGACCGTTGCCGTGGATTACTGACCCTTCCTGAATATTAACGTAGTCGCCGATAACGATGGCGTCGTCTCCATCGCCACGAACGGTGACTCCCGGCCAGATGCTGGCATACTCGCCGATTTCCACGTTGCCGACCACGTAAGCGAACTCGCTGACCCAGGCGGTCTCTGCTACCTTGGGCGTTACCCCGTTGAGAGTGCGAATCAAGTCTATGCTCCTTGAACGAATCCGAATTCCTTCCTAATATCTGGCGGCGCCGACGGCCCGGCGGGCCTCACGGTCCATTTCGCGGCTGATGATGGTGCGGCGCTTGTCGTACTGCCTCTTGCCGCGGGCAAGCCCGAGCTCCACCTTTGCAACGTGGCGCTTGATGTAGATCCGCAACGCTACGAGGGTAAGTCCCTTTTCGGCCACCTCACTTTCCAGCTTGCGAATCTCATCGCGGTGCATCAGCAGCTTACGCTGGCGGCGGGGGTCATGGTTGTACTGGCTCGCCGGATCGTAAGGTGCTATGTAGGTGTTGTGCAGCCACATCTCGCCGTCGCGGACGCGCGCGTATCCGTCACTGAGATCAACCTTGCCGGCGCGGACCGATTTGATCTCGGTTCCTGTGAGCACTATCCCAGCCTCGTGTCGCTCCAGGATCTCGTAGTCGAAGAATGCCCTGCGATTCGAGGCCGCTGTGCGGATCCCCTCTGAACTGCCGTTTTTAGCAGTAGGCACGGATTTTTTCTTTGCCATGATTACCCACCTTGGAAAGTGACTCTCAGTTGCTGGCAACAGACTGGGAACTATCAATCAATTTATTCACCTCTTCGATAGCCAGGTCCAGCTGCAGGTCGTCAGAATCGTCCTCGGATGCTTCCTGCAGAATGTCCGGAACAATTCCCTCGCCTTCTATCAACTTGCCGTCCGGCGTGTACCACCGGCCTATGGTGAAGTTTACCGCAGACCCGTCGTACAGGGGCCACAGATTATTGACACTCCCCTTTCCGAATGTGGTGACTCCAATGGTCGGGCCCCGCTGATGATAAATGATGGCACCGGCGAAGACCTCACTGGCCGAGGCGCTGAAGCCATTCATCAGCACCACCATGGGCACGTCCAGGGCCATTCCGCCCGACTCGGCGTTCCAGTCGCGGCGGTTACCCTGTCCATCAAGCTGATAAAGCACCATACCTTCGTCTACAAACTGGCTTGTGATATTTACAACCGATGACAGCAGACCTCCGGGGTTATTGCGGACGTCCACGACCAGACCCAATCCCCTTGAACGCTCGAAGCGTTCAAGCGCGCGTTTCAGTTCCTCCAGGGTCGTGCCGGTAAATGAGCTGATCCTCAAGTGACCTATGCGGCCCACCAGCATGGTTAGTCGGACGCTCTCCAGTTGAATGACCCCTCGGACGATTTCAAGCACCTCCGTTTCGCCGGTTTGATCGCGGCGCACTCCAATATTCACCGTGGTGCCCTTCTCGCCCCTGATCCGGTTGATTGCCTGCCATAGGTCCCATCCGGCAATGTCCTCCCCGTCAATGCTGAGGATGACGTCACCAGGCTTGACGCCGGCTTCCTCCGCCGGCGTGTCCGGTATTGGCGCAACTATCGTTATGAGGCCGTTTTTGACAGTAACTTCAGCGCCAATTCCTTCAAAAGTCCCTTGTATTTCCTGCCTCTGGAAAGAGTATTGCTCAGGGTCCAGGTAAGAGGCGTGATCGTCGCCCGTAGCCTCCAGCATCCCACGAATGGCACCGTCCGTCAGCGTGTCTGGATCAAAGGTCCCGGCGTCGATATGTTCCCGTTCCAGGAGTTCATACACATCTGCCAGCTTGGCAAATTCAGGGGGCAGGCCCTCAATGGACTGTTCCTCTGGTTCATCACCAGTGTCAGCGTTTACGCAGGCGGTCCCGGCCAGTCCAGCGCTAAGAAGCAGTACCAGGAAAAATAGAAGCAGTACACGCTGGCGGTTGCGCAGGGGGAGGCAGGCCAAAGGGCAAACTCCTGCTCGACAAAGCGAACGGGCCACAAATGGCCCTCTGGTTAAATTTTATCACAGGCCCCCGGAGTCGCCAGAACAAACTACTGCACATTCATATCGACCATATCGACCAAAGTAGTCATTTCGCTCATTTGTGGACCGTCGAAGCCACTCTGCGGGCTATTCATCGTTAACTTAAGACAATGCGGCATAGGGCCCCAATTTTGCGTCAGTGTGTTAAGATTGCGCGTAGAACTCGCGTATCCGCTTGCCCTTCGAGCCACAGTCGATGCCGGACTGTCCACAATACAGGCCGAAAAGATCCGGCAGTGTCTGCGACGCCATTTGGCCTATCAAAAGTTCACAGGGGACCCAAACTAAGGAGGAAAGGTATGTCCACCCTTGCTGTGGAGGTCGTGTACCGGGGGATTTTCCAGAAAACCCTGGCACGAAACATCGTCCGCTCCATAGTGTTCGCCGCACGCAAAGACGGCAAGATCGGCACCGCATTTGGGCGCTATGGCGACTCCCCGGAACGCAACGGCATCCCGGCCAAGCAATTCGCCATCGTGGCCGATGACGCCGAAGAACTGGAGGAGTCCCTGGCGGTTTACCAGGCCACCAGCGTCGACGTAACCATTAATGTAGACGACACCATGTGCAAAGGCATCGAGTCGTGGGCCTGGTACGGACTGCAGCCTATCAACGAGTTGACCAAGCCCGGCGGCACTTTGATTGTCACCTCTCGGCAGCAGTCAGAAGCTCTGCTGGAGGACATACACCCCAAGAGACTCCCTACAATTTGTCCATCGTTACCGGCATCCCCAGCTTCTCCGGTTTGTGGGTCTACAAAGATGACCACACCGATGCTCGGGTGCTGGGCGCGCTCTGCAAGGTGTGTCCGGATCTGGTCAGCCTTGATGCAATGCTGGAGACCATCGAAGAGCAGATGGGCGGCGGAACCAAGATCGCCTCTGCCCAGCGTTCCTTCGACCGCACTGCCTCCCGTCCGGTGGAACCTGGCGAGGGCGGTAACCAGCGCGAGATGAAGTTCACCTTGCCAGGCTGGAAGACTATGGAAGAGGGCCTGGTTATTCGCGCCATACCCGAAGGCGGCGAGTTCGCAGAGGGCGAGGGCGGATATGTTCCCGGACGCAGCGAAGTGTTCAAGAAGTTCAGCACCCGCACAATGCGCCCTGTAGTCAACTTCGAAACCTGTATCAAGTGCACCCTGTGCTGGTTGCAGTGCCCCTGACACCTGTTTCGACGTCACGCCTGACGGTCTGTACGACGCAAATATGGAATCCTGCTGCGGCTGCGGCGTCTGCGAAGCTGTCTGCCCGGTCCCCGACTGCGTAACCATGGTCAACGAGGCCGAGTTCAACGATCACGACAGTCAGTGGGAGTGGTGGCAGAAAGACAAAGACGGCTACAACAAGTGGATGACCGAGTTGGTAGAAAAGCAGAAGGCCGAGACCCGAACCCACGGCTTCCACCATGTGGGCGGCTACGCCGAGCAGATCCAGGCGGCGGAGGCAGACTAAATGACCACTGTTCAGACCGAAATGTTCACCGAGTCAACCGAGGAACTGATCAGCGGCTCCGAGGCCATTGCCATCGCCTGTGCGCTGGCCGACGTGGACGTCATTACCGCCTATCCCATCCGGCCCTACGACACCGTCATGCAGTACGTGTCAAAGCTGAAGGCCGACGGCGTATTCGACTGCGACTTCATCGTAGCGGAGAGCGAACACTCTCAGTTCGAGATCGTAAAGCATGCCTCGGCAGTTGGCGCCCGAACCTTCTGTGGTTCCAGCGGGGTGGGCTGGTTTTACGCCTTCGAGGCAATCACCGTAACCGCCGGTCTCCGAATGCCCGTTGTGGCCATGGTCGGCAACCGGGCACTGGATGACCCTGGAGCCTTTGGCGTGGAGCACAACGACGCCATGGCCGTCCGCGACTTGGGCTGGCACCTGTACTGGGTTGCCACCGCACAGGAAGCACTGGACACGGCGCTGTTGGCCTACAAGGTAGCCGAGGACCGCAGGGTCCTGCTTCCCTTTGCAGTCAGTTGCGACGGGTCGTTTCTCACTCACTCGCAGGCCATCGTGCAGGTGCCGACGCGGGAGCAGGTAAAGCGTTATTTGCCCGATTACAACCGGCACGAACTGCAACTCCACCCTGACAACCCGATCACAATAGCGCCGCAGGTCAACGAGGACTGGCTGATGGAAATCCGCCGTCAGACCGATGAGGCCATGCGCCGCACCACGAATGTCATATACGAGGCCTACGATGAGTTCAAGGAGGTCTTCGGAAGGGGAGACCCCAGCCCGTTCATCGAAGAGTACATGACCGAGGATGCCGAGATCATCCTCGTGGGAATGGGAACGCTGGCTATGCCCACCCGCGTTGCAGTGCGCCGCATGCGGGAGCAGGGCAAGAAGGTCGGCTTCCTCCGCATCAAGTTCTTCCGGCCCTTCGTGGCGGAGGAGATCCAGAACGCCCTAAGGGGAGCGAAAGGCATCGCTGTCATCGACCGCGACTACTCCTACGGCTCGCCTTCCTACGGCGGAGTGCTCTTCCACGAGTTGCGGTCGGCGCTCTACCCGCTGCCGGAACGCCCGATGATGCTCAACTTCATCGCCGGGCTAGGCGGAAGGGAAGTTATGGTACGTGACGTAAACGAGATGGTCGAGACTACCGAAAAGGCTGTCGCGACTGGTAAAATCGAACAGGAAACAACCTGGATTGCGGTAAGGGAGTAAGAACCATGACCACCCTGATGACTGCGACCGACCTGCCCCAGGTCAGGGGCGTAAAGAACATCCCGGTGGAGGAGTTCTATTCCTCCGGTCACCGAACCTGCCAGGGCTGTGAGTCGGCGCTGACGATGCGGCTGATGATCAAGGCCGCCGGCCCTCGCTCCATCGTGCTGGGCAGCACCGGCTGCATGTACGTAGCCAACACCACCTACTACAGCACGCCGTGGGTGGTGCCGTGGATGCACACCCAGCTCGGTTCCTCCGGCAGCGCCGCCACCGGCACCGCCGCTGGCCTGTCCTCCATGATGCGCAAGGGCAAGATGCACAAGGAACCGATCAACGTAATCGCCTTCTGCGGCGACGGCGGCGGCGTGGACATGGGCCTCTCGGCCATCTCCGCCGCTTTGCAGCACGATGAGTACAATCTGCTGATCCTCTGCTACGACAACGAGTCCTACGCCAACACAGACATTCAGGTGTCGGGCAGTTCGCCGTGGGGCGCCAACAGCACCTTCAGCCCTCCGGGCAAGGTGCATCGCATCATGAACAGCAGGTGGAAGAAGAACACCGCGCCGATGCTGGCCGCCGGACATCCCGACGTCCGCTACATCGCCACCTCCTGCGCCTCCTACGGGCTGGACTTGAACAACAAGATTCGCCGTGCCCTGACCATCGGCGGGCCGACGTTCATCCACAACATTGACCCCTGCCCCAAGGGCTGGGACTACGACCCCAAGTATTCCCACGAACTGGGCATGCTGGCCGTCGAGACTGGCCTGTGGGTCCAGTACGAGATCATCGACGGCGAGCTGACCCTGAACGGGGCCAGCCGCTCCATCTCCAAGGGTATCCGCAAGCGCAAGCCCATCTCGGAGTATCTCACGCGCCAGGGACGCTTTGCCCACTTCACCCCTGAGGACATCGCCCACTTCCAGCAGCGGGTCGACGACAGTTGGGAAAAGTGGTGGATCCCGGGAGTCATCCCCTTCACCGTGAGCGAGGACTAAACCTGGTTCCGGCTCGCGCGAGAGCCAACCATCCTTGATCCCTAGGGGCAGGCCTAAAACCTGCCCCTTTCCCTTGGCCTTGGATTTTCAAAGGAATCTGGCCCAATTGTTGCCGCATTCCTCTAAGTTATCGGACATGTTTTTCCTGTTTTGCAGATTATCCTTCGTGATGTTGCGAAACACATAGTGAATCAGATAGTATATTGCTGATTATCAACTCATAATCAATGCATTCAGTAAATTTGTGCTATGATACGGCGGCTGTTTATTGTTGTCCTGTTGGGTAGCCGCTGACCCGCTGGAGCAACGGGCAGTGAAACCCCCAACAGGCTTGAGGAGAGGTATTCATGCGATCCACGGTAATTTTTATCCCTTGCTATCGTCCTTATGATGGCGTTCCTGGTGGCCTGCGGCGAGGCGGCGACACCAGAACCCGCGGCTACCGACGTACCTCCAACGGCATCGGCAGCGCCAACCGAAGCTCCCACCGAGGCCATGGAAGAAGAGCCCACGGCCATGATGGAAGAGGAAGAAGGCGATGCGATGATGTGGGATGTCAGCGAAGAGCTGAAAGCCTACGCCGCAGAAAACACCGGTGGTCCCGGTGCCATATATTTAGGCGATGGCAACTTTGAGCCACTGGTCGGCCCCGCAGTCACCCAGCAGGCCCTTGATGCGTTAGGTGATGATCTGGGCGTTACCATGGGTGATGCTGAAGGCAATGTCCCATTGGATGCCATCACGGAATCCAAGTGGATCTACGAGTCCGACTACTATCGGACGCTGCTTGATAAAGCAAAATTTGACTGACCCGACCGAGCTGGTGACGGAGGGAGAGGAGATCACACTGCAGTACGCCTGCATTAACAGGTCGACGCTGCAGTGCAGAATCGTGCCGGCCTACTTCGTCAACAACGTATTCGAACGTACCAACGGGCAGCTCACGATTGAGATCACTTCCTTCCCGGAGTTGGGTCTGGCTGGTTTCGACACCATGACACTGCTATCCGACGGCACTCTGTCGGCGGCCGAGATCTACGGCGGCTACGTCGGCGGCGAATACCCCACCCTGGCGGTGCAGTACTTGTGGGGCTTGTGGCCCAATCACCAGACTCACTTCGAAGTGCTGGCCAGCATCTTCCCTGACATCGAAAGGGTGATCAGGGAGGAGACCGGCGCACAGGTGCTTATGCACCTTTGGATTGCCGGAGACGACCAGTTCTTCTTCAGCAAGAAGAAACTTGAAAATCCGGAAGACTTCAAGGGCACCAAGACTCGCAGTCACAGCACCGAGCTTTCCGACTGGATCAACTACATGGGCGCCGAAGCCCAGGCAATGGCCTTCGCCGAAGTCTACACCGCACTGGAACGTGGCATTCTCGATGCTGGCGTAACCGGCGCGAACCCCGGCCTTTCGCAACGGTGGTACGAGGTGACCGAATATATGAACGGTCGGCTGTACAGCTTCAATGCCACCATCGCGGTGGTCAACGGGGACGTCTGGAATGACATTCCCGCCGACTTGCAGCAGATACTCATCGAGGAGGGCGCCAAGCACGAGCTGGAAGCCCTGCGCGTGGCCGCCATTCAGAACATCACCGGTGTCTCCCGCAACGTCGATGCAGGTCTGGAGCTGGTGGAATTTGGTCCTGAGGCTCAGGAACTGAGCAAGGAAGCTGCCCGCAATCAGGTGATTCCCAATTGGCTGAAGCGCGTTGGCTACCCAGACGAGGGCCAGGGAACAGTTGACGTGTTCAACGACAAGATCGGCCCCTTCGTCGGTTTGCAAATCGTGGAAGACGCCAGCGCTGAAAACGGCTTCAACATCATCGAGGCCCCGATAACCATGGGCCCGCAGGCCCCGTAGCGTTCGGGCGACCACCGGATTCGCAGCCGCGAATCGCACGCACAGTCAGAGGGGCGGCCACTTGGCCGCCCCTTCACTCTGTCCCATATGCACCTACAAATTCTGACCGGAGAAACTCTCCCGCTTCGTGCGTTATTTCCTATTTAACTCTCGTTTTAAGCGAAATTCATTCAACATTTGATAGGAATACACAAATAATCACAGTGTTTCGATATGTATTCCGGTTACCTACTTACGCTTTCTGTAGAAGGTGTGATATGATACCACGGCTGTTTGCTGTTATAGCGTCGAAAACTCGCCAAATCGCGCGTAGCGGCACTTTTCGGGGAGACCCAAAACTCAAAGGAGAGGTGTTCATGCGATCCACGGTTATTTTGTCCTTGGCCATCGTTCTAATGATGGCATTCTTGGTGGCATGCGGAGAGGCTGCCACTCCGGCACCAACCAATACCTCGGTACCACCAACTGAACCTCCGCCGCCACGGAAGCCCCCACCGAGGCCATGGAAGAAGAACCCACCGCCATGATGGAGGAAGACGAAGGCGAAGCGATGATGTGGGAGGTCAGCGACGAGCTGAAGGCCTACGCCGCGGAGAACGCCGGCGGTCCCGGCGCCATCTACATCGGCGACGGCAACTACGAAGCCCTGGTGGGCCCCTCCGTCATACCCGACTTCATGGATCAACACGGCGTTGACCTTGGGGACGACGACGGTAATGTCCCGCTTGACGCCATTATGGAACTCCAGTGGGTATACGAGTCTGACTACTACCGCTCCCTTCCGGAAAAAGCGCGTCTGACCAATCCTACAGAACTGGTTTCCCAGGGCGAAAGCTTCACCCTGCAGCATGCCTGCATCAACCGCACCCTGCTCTGGTGCAAGCACATGGAAGCCTATTTCGCCCCCAACGTTTATGAGCGCACGAACGGACAGGTGGAGATTGAAATCACCTCCTTCCCAGAGTTGGGCCTGGCCGGGTTCGACACCATGTCACTGCTGGCTGACGGCACTCTTTCCCTCTCGGAAATCTATGGCGGCTATGTCGGAGGCGAGTTCCCAACCTTGGCCGTGCAGTACTTGTGGGGTCTGTGGCCCAACCACGAGACTCACTACTCGGTTCTGACCAACATCTTCGACGACATCGAGAAGGTGATTAGCGATGAGACCGGCGCCACTGTGCTCTACCACAACTGGATTGCCGGCGACGACCAATTCTTCTTCAGCGATTACAAGCTGGAGAATCCCGAAGACTTCGATGGACTCAAGACCCGCAGCCACAGTACCGAGCTCTCTGACTGGATCAACTACATGGGAGCCGAGGCTCAGGCAATGGCCTTTGCCGAAGTGTACACGGCCCTGGAACGCGGCATCCTTGACGCCGGGGTAACTGGCGCAAGTCCCGGACTGTCGCAGCGCTGGTACGAGGTAACCGACTACATGAACGGTCGCCTGTACAGCTTCAACTCCACCACCAACGTGGTAAACGAGGACGTCTGGGACAGCATTCCCGAGGACCTTCAGCAGATTCTGTTGGAGGAGGGCGCCAAGCACGAGCTGGAGGCCCTGCGCCTGACTTCCATCCAAAACCAGACTGGTGTCGACCGCAACATCGAAGCCGGTTTGGAGTTGGTGGAGTTCGGCCCCGAAGCCAGGGCATTGAGCACCGAAGCTGCCCGCAACCAGGTGATTCCCAACTGGCTGAAGCGTGTAGGCTACCCTGAAGAGGGCCAGGAAACGGTTGACGTGTTCAACAACAAGATCGTCTCCTTCGTCGGTCGGCTTCGGAGACTCGCCCTGAATTACGTGGTCGATGGATACGCCGCCGAAACGCTTCAACATCATCGACGCACCGATCACCCAGGGTCCCCAGGCTCAATAGGACTACGGAAACGACCCCTATCACCAAGGCAAAGGGGCGGCGAATTCGGCCGCCCCTTTTCATTTCCAGAAAATTCACGAGGCCCACTCTCAGATGAAGCATGCTCCGGTCAGATTTAGAGACGTCCATCACCGCTGACCTCAGCCGCAGGGAGAGGGGACATGTTATATACCCTCTTAGAAGAATACGCTCAGGTTCTTGGCCCAGATCACATTCGAATCCGCAGCGATTGTCCGTGCCGTCACTCCTCCTCGGCCGATCAACCTGCCGCAGCACGTCGTCATCGCGTTACCGGCGAAAATGTTCTCCTCAGTCTCAATGTGCCAGCACGACTGTAAGTATGACGCGGTCGCTCGCAATTCGGACCTCACCATCGGGCTGCGGCTCAACCACGAGGTTGCCGACCAAGTGCCGAGTGCGGGACGGCGGGTCCTCGCCCCAGGCCATCCCCGTCTCCAGCCGCTCCACGCGCATTGTCAGGTAGGTCTTGTCGTCCTCGAAAATCGCCAAATCGCCTACCGGCGTGAGCTCCCGCTCCGTCTCGTGCCGGTGAATGTTCAAGCGACGTGGCATGAAATAGAAAACGTCGTCTGTGAAGAGGTCCAGCCATTCCCGGAAACGTCGCTCGTCGAGGATCCAAGCCTCTCGTATGTAGAACTGCATCAGCTCGTTCCACAGCTCGACTGGCTCGAAACCGTGACGACGTGGTGGCTTGCGTCTCGGTGGCCATACTATTGCGCTCCGAAAATCGTTCCGCCTGCTGTCCGTGGTGAGTGCGGAGTGAGGGCGTCAGTTGCTAACCGCGTAGGGTGGCGGTGCCCTCAAAGTCCATTGTCTGGCTCCAACGGAATGTCCTCCCAGTTCTCGGCATTCATGACGCTGGCTCCGCATGCGCTTGTAGAACCGCGCGCGGTTGCATCTCGGTGTGGACCGTTCGCCTACTGCCGTGATCTTTCGGGTGCCAGCCGATCGGTTGCCGCACTCCCTGGACAGTTCCTGTATACTGGCGTCCCAGCCGCGTCCAGACCGAGTTGTGACATGCGCGCTCAGTTTTGTCCATGTCGATACCTGCTCTGAACACATATACCTGTCACGACTCGCCGTTTTAGTGTCAGCTCTCTTGCTTCTGGCTGTAATGTGCTTTCGGTATCCCATGATTTCCTCTACGCTCCTCGATTTCCTTCTCTCTCCAGCTAACCACGTAAGTGCCAGAACGTCTACCGTCTGCAATGCCCTCCCTGGGTGTGCCAGCCGCAGGCCCGGCACGACCGTTGGGAACAGGCTGTGTTCCCACGCTGCAGCTTCCGCGGGCGCTGCGCAGGTTGTGCCGCAGCCGCCGGTCCGCGACTCGGCCAGTGTCTGGCGGTAGTATTCCTCGAAGGCCTCTCGGTTTTCGGCCGTCACTCCATGGGCTGTCCGGGCTTGTTCGGGGCGTTCCAGGAATCGCATGGTCAGCGAGTGGCCGTTGACGAACAAGGTGCGTGACGCTCCGACTGGAAGAACTGACTGCTCAGTAGGCGTGCATGCGGGACGTCCGCGGTGCCTGCCACACTAGGCACGATGATCGTGGACAGAGTGCGTGCGTAGTCGCTCACGTGAATAGTTGTGCAGAGAGTCTATATGTCCACTCGCAGTATTCTGGATTCCGGCATTCAATACACCGTTCCATCCACTTGGTGGGGCCCAT